AAGTTTTTCTCCTGTTATCTGAAGAAGCCTTTTGGCTTGTGGTAAAGGCTACAGCCGAAACGAGAAACTTTGGGTGCCTTTTCCCTTTGCCCAGTTTGCAGGGTCTCTAGCTGCAGAGTTGCACAGTGTAGCCAAGGCTAGATGTATAATTGCCGCTGCGCTGATTAGCTGCTTTTTTCTATGACGTTTTTGTATTAGATGGTTGGTTGATGGTTGGTTGCAACATTTACTGTAGATTTACTGAGCTGATTAGCCGCCATTTTCAAGATGTAATAAACAAGTCTTTTTTATATATATAACAGACCTTTATTGAATGGTGCCACAAGATTTATTTGATGTTTGGCAAAGCCTTTTTACACCGTGTGTGTATTTAGCTTCCAGGTGGGGATGGAGATTTCTTGGAATTACAACCAGAGGTCATTTCGGGGGGGATCACAGTTCCCCCGGGTGAGGTATGGGGGGCGGGGCACATGACGAAGCCCCGCCCCCTGCTTCCGGCCGCCCCGCTTCCGGCCCTCATTCAGCCAGGAGGAGGCAGGAGAAGAGGGAGGGTAAGTTGCTTCCTCCCTGCCTCTCCCCACCCCTGCCTGCCTGGGGCCAGGGAGGGCCTTCGCAGGGCTTCCTTGCACTCCCGCCGGCCTTGCAGGTCCACCGCCGGGCCCCTCATGGGGCTCGGCAGTGGAGCTGCAAGGCCGCCGCCGCCAGCTGAGACCGTTGGGGGCGGGGTGTGTGGCCTTATGACACACTTCCGGTGATGTCAGGGGGTGTGGCATATGCTAATGAGTTATGCTAATGAGTTCCCCTAGCTCTTTTTCTACGAAACGACCCCTGATTACAACTGATTTCCAGACTACATACGTCTCCCAGGCTCCACCCTCAACTTTCCAGGTATTTTGGAACCTGAGGTTGGCAGCTCTAACTGGGATGATTATTTCCGTGCAAGTGTTTTTTCCGGGTCTGCACGACTTATTCAGAAACACTGGCCATAGGGTTGCCACCCTCCAGGTGGCACCTGAAGGTCTCCCGCTATTCCAATTGATCTCCAGATGACCGAGATCAGTTCTGCTGGAGAAAATGACAGCTTTGGAGAGTGGACTTGTTAAGTCGCTCGCTTAACAAAGCAGTCGGAGAGTGATTCAGCAAGAACACAGCTTTATTCTTCAACTCGAACACAACTCCAACACGGATCAACATCTGATAGCCAGAACAGCCTCTACATTGCAGCTGTCCTGCTTTTAAACATTCCCGGATAATGTAGCCACACCCACTGTACAGATACCAACCAATACGGTTGTTTGCATAAGGACCAATCACGGACGTTCCCACTCAGGGAGCTTGCTGTGAAGTTATTGGCTAGGTGCTTCCTGGGTTAGCAATAGGAATGGATTCCTGTCCGAGAAGAGGTTTGACCTCCCCTCTCTGTCCAGTTTTCCCAATCGAAACCAGGTTCCTCCAAGGGAAAAATGTGTTCGCCGTTCGAACGTCGGATTAGGATTCCTGTGGTTTCCCAAATCAGACCATAGGTAGTTTAAGAAATCGCAGAGAAGTGGTGAGGAAAATGCAGAAAGGCAGCAAATGGAGAATGAAGAATTGAGGAGCTGAGAAGAAGAAACCAGGGCAGTTCAACACCCCTTAGCACAAGAAAACATCTACATGAAGAAACCTAATAATGAGGGGTGTACATTCAGATCTACCCGCACTGAAAATATACCTGAAAAAAAAACAGTATTTTGGGGGTATATTTAAGCATCCTAAATGTGTCTGGGTTTCCTCGTGTCAACCAGGGGGGAAATCCTGAGAAAATCCCGGATATATTTGGAAATTACCGGCAGATCCAAAACCAGCAAGAGGCAGGATCAGATTGTTCCCACCTCACAGCCAGGGCCGGCGCTCCCATAAAGCAGGGTTAGGCAGTTGCCTTAGGGCGTGACCCTAGAAGGGCACCACACTGGCCTCCTGCCCCACCCAACCCCCTTCCAACCCCTCCCCTCTCCAAATAGAGTCAAGACAGTCACCACCAGCTCTCTGCTCCTCTGGCTATGCCTCTGGCTCAGTCCTCCTGAGTGCAGAGGCAGCCTTGCAGTCCACCAGCAGCGGCGAGAGACTGGAGGGGCAGCGGCAGAGAGAGAAGACTCCCACCCCACACATTGCCCAGTGCCTTCCTTTCCCTTGGCATGTCTCTGGCTCCCTGGCGGGGGTGGCACCGTCGAGCTGAGGACCCAGGTAGGCAGGCTGCTGCCGCCCCGCCCCCCTCCTCCCCCTCAGAGCTGCTGTGAGAGCGGCTCTTAGGGACGCTGTGTGTGGCGCACCACTTTCACGCCTTTTTGGCGCTTCCCAGAGGGATGGGGGATCCCACCAGGTGGGACGATGGAGAGGACATTCCCCTCCCTCCCACTCTTGAGCACTACTGTCGGGGAACCAAAACCTCCTGGATATTCCAGGCCCCAGGAACATCAAACTCACGCCAGGGCGTTTTTGGTGGCGGCTCCTACCTGGTGGAATGAGCTCCCAGAAGAGATCTGGGCCCTGTGGGACCTTGGGCAGTTCCGCAGGGCCTGTAAAACGGAGCTCTTCTGCCAGGCATTCGAGTAGGAGCTGCCGCCACCATTATTACACCAACATTTTTTTCCATCACCGCACCCTTACCACCGCTGGCAATGGGTACCATCGGGGGTGTGAGACGTACCTGGCGGATGATAGGGTTGTGGGGACATATAGTCGTTGAATTGTTATAACAGCTGCATAACACCATCTTGATTTTACGAATTGGAGCAAGTGGTGGAGCACCGATATTTTATTAATTGTATTATATTGTATTGTATTTTATTGTTCTTATTGTTTTTATTGGCATTTATGCCCTTGTTAGCCGCCCTGAGCCTTCGGGGAGGGCGGGATACAAATTTAAAGAATAAATAAATAAATAAATAGGGGGGGCCTTCTTGGTACCCTGCCTTTCCCGTGTCTCGGTCTGGCAAGAGGCGTATTTCCCGCCCCGCCGCCACGGCCCTCGAAGTTGCCGGGCCTCCCCCTCGAGCCTTCTGCAGCTCTTCCTCGCCGGGCTTCGCTTGTGTCTGCGGCCACTTTGGGGGGCTGCAGCAGCTGGAGCAGCAGGGCGCCTTCCTTCCCAGAGGAGAGAGGCTGCTCGGAGGTTGGAGGGGGTTGCCGGGCACCTGGAAGTAGCTGGCGTGGGGGTGGGGAGAGAGAATGAGAGAAGGGCGCCGAAGGTGCTTGAGGCGAAGTAGCAAGCCCTGGAGAGTGGAGCTGGGGGGGGGGGAGTGCGGTTTCCGTTGGTTGCTGCCTTGGTCTGAAGTGTTAGAAGAGTTAGATTTGAGTCCAGAAGCACCTTAGAGACTGACAAGATTGTCATGGTTTAAGCTTCCAGAGTCAATCCTTCGTCGGTGGTGGGGCTTAGCTCGTGAGCCCGCCTGCCCGAAGCGTGGGTCTGTGACAGAATTAAAAGGCAGGCGGGCTGGCAGGGAGTGAAAATTCAGGTGGAGTAGCCGTGTTGGTCTGCAGGCAGCAGAACGAAGTTTTGAGTCCAGTGGCGCCGTTAAGACCAACAAAGTCTTACTCACGGTATGAGACAGGGAGTGCGTCAGGGGCGAGCTATAAGACCCGACACCCGAAAGACCGCCCGGGAAGAACAACCAAGAAAAACAGCGAGTCCTGCCACCTGGGTGCTGGTAGGCAGCCCCAACCCCTGTAGACATGTGGCCTTAGCTAGGGATAAATTTGGAACTTGTAAGCCGCTCAGAGTTGGAGCGGGGTAGGGTTGGAGCGGGGTAGAAATCAAAGATATAAATAAATAAATAAATAAATAAATAAATAAAGGCAGGTGCTAACAGTCCTCTGCCTCTGAGTTTCATTTGCTGGGCAAGAGCCCCGCTTGCTTGCTTTGGGTTTGTTTGCTAAGAACCAGAAGCGGCACACGCGCCTCTCCCTTGGGATCAGCGCCTTTATGCCTGCTGGGGAGGTGGCTGAGGGGAGAGTGGTCTTGCTAATCATATGGAGGAAGGCCTCGCCACTGCCATCGTATGTAAATACACGTTTCTTTTAGACCAGATTTGGATTTGTTTTCACAATAAATATAGGTTTGGTTCTCTAAAATGAAGGGGGGGGGATGTGTTTGTGTTTTTAAATCTCCTACAGCTCAAATATCAAATTAGCAGTTTCAAATTTTGTGTTTTTCATTCTTCCTAAAATGCATTTATGTTTGAAAACTGGGGGGCGCGGGGGGAAGGGCGCCAGAAGGTAGCCTTGCCTAGTGTGCAAAAAAACACACACCTGGCGCCGGCCCTGCTCACAGCTGTTTGACAGGCTTCTGCAGTCCCTTTAAACTGTAAAGAGGCTGCAGAAGACAGCCCCCACTGGCTCGACTCGGGTCTGGCCGGCTTCTCCTGCCGCCTGGTTTGAACCAAGCAGCAAGAGAAGTCAGCCCAGGATCAGCCTCAGCTGGGAGCCCCATGCCACCTCGGCTTGGCATTGGCTTCTCTTGCAACCGGGTTTAAACCAGTATCGAGATCTGGGGTTTTTCAGGAAACTGATTTTTTTTTTTTGTTGTTCAATATACCCTAACTGAAAAAATGTGCCTTGGTGTTTAGTCATGCCGGCCACATGACCACGGAAACGTCTTCGGACAGCGCTGGCTCTTCGGCTTTAAAACAGAGATGAGCACCACAACCCTAGAGTCGGATTCGACTGGCTTTCGAGCAAGGGAACCTTTACCTTTACTAATAACATCCCGGGAAGAACAAGGCCAAGTCAAGGCAAATCAGTGGTGTGGGATATCCTAGTCCTCTTTTCGCTGATACCAAATAGCAAGACAGATCTGGAGGTTTTGATATTGCCCAGGCCTTGTCACACTGACCTGCACCGGCCTATCAGGGTCAACTAATCTTCTTGCGCCCCCTACTGAGGAGTGACTCCTATGTAGCCCGTTCGCGGGGAGGGCGGGGTATAAATACAATTAAATAAATAAATAAATACGTTCTTCTTTGCAGAAACTGCAAGGTGAGAGAAACCCTAAGCATATGAACGATTCCGCCCGGGAACTGTTTGAGATCATTCCTGGAGACAGGGAGCCGGCTCTGGAGAGAAGCGAGTCGCAGTGTCGGAGGTGCGCCGTGGTGGGGAATTCGGGGAACCTGAAGCATTCTCAGTACGGCAAAGAGATCGACAGCCACGACTTTGTGTTCAGGTGAGTGGCAGGGGGTTCTTCAACCATAGTGATCATTCAGACCTAGGGCTGCCAACTCTGGACTGGGAAATTCCTGGAGATTTGGGGCGGTGGGGGTACCCTGACCTGGATAGCCCAGGCTAGCCCAATCTCATCAGATCTCGGGAGCTAGGCAGGGTCGGTGCTGGTTAGTCCTTGGATGGGAGCAGGGCTTTTTTGGTAGAAAAAGCCCAACAAGAACTCATTAGCATAATAGGCCACACCCGACAACAGAAACTCATTAGCCTATTAGGCCACATCCCTGGTTGTGCAGTTCATTGGCATATTAGGCCACACTCCCAGGCCTTCCTTTGGATTGCCCAGGCGCTCTGCAGCTGCGGGAAACCCGGGCAAGCCCCCCCCCCCCGCTTTGATGCTGGCATTAAAGTTGTGAAACCAACATACAACAGATACCGTGCACAGATGAATTATAACCTATCATAAATAATTTTATAGATTTAGAAAAATATTATTGCAATAATTTCTTCATACATATTAATCATCATAGTCACAATTCATAATATAAGAGAACAAAATGTCAAATATCATCTCCATAGATTCTCAAAAGATATAGTACAACCTTATAATATATACTAGTCCTCCTCTGTAAAAAAGTTTCAAAAGGGAGGACTCCTTAAATTCTCTTTACATGTGCTCTGTCTTCCTCCAACAGAGGTCCAGATGTCCTTCTGTTTCAGAATCTTCCTCAGGGAGTCCAACAATAATTTTCAGCACAAGGTTGCTAAATACCAAAGTTTTAATCCAAAATTCTCTTTCAATGAACGCTGCAAAAAGTTTTTTGATGAGCTACAAGCCTCCTCCAAATTGAAAAGCACGTTTGGAGGAAGATTCTGAAACAGAAGGACATCTGGACCTCTGTTGGAGGAAGACAGAGCACATGTAAAGAGAATTTAAGGAGTCCTCCCTTTTGAATCTTTTTACAGAGGAGGACTAGTATATATAATAAGGTTGTACTATATCTTTTGAGAATCTATGGAGATGATATTTGACATTTTGTTCTCTTATATTATGAATTGTGACTATGATGATTAATATGTATGAAGAAATTACTGTAATAATATTTTTCTAAATATATAAAATTATTTATGATAGGTTATAATTCATCTGTGCACGGTATCTGTTGTATGTTGGTTTTCCTACTTACCGTGGGTCCTTGTTTGGGTTTCGTTTACCCACCACACGGCATCAGAATTCCAAAAGTGCCTGCAGTCTTAAAAAGTCTGGGGGATCCCTGCTTTAGGGAATGAGGGGAGTTAAACCTTTTGCTCTTGAGCCAGTTCCCAGACTTCTTTATGCCCTTGCAGGGAAAGAAGACAGGCAACTGAATCTAACAATCATTTCCACCAGCAGGAGGGAAGGCACGTTTCCCCATTTTTTCCCCTCCTCCTCCGATGAAATACCCGTTTATGTACAGTACTTTTTTTTTTGGGGGGGGGAGCTTTGAAACACCAGGGGCAGCATTTCAGAGATGGTAACAATGGTATGCAGGGGGGGGGTCAGGAAAGTTCCATTGCACAGAAATCTATTCATCTTTAGTTGAATGCAACTGCTTTTTTCTCTACTGGGGGTTTAATGGGCTTGCCAATTCTGTGTTGGGAAATTCTGGGAGATGAGGGGGGATTGGAGATATTATTATTATTATTATTATTATTATTATTATTATTATTATTATTATTATTGTTGTTGTTGTTGTTGTTGTTGTTGTTGTTGTTGTTGTTGTTGTTGTTGTTGTTGTTGTTAGTCATTTCATAGAAAAAGGTGCAGGAGCTCATTAGCATGACTCATTAGCATAACTCATTTGCATATGCCACACACCCTGACATCACCGGAAGTGTGTCAGAAGGCAACACCCACCGCTCAGGCTCCACTGGACTGTTTTGGATTGCTAGCTATCGGGGGGGGCATGTAGATCTGTCCTCACAGAGGAGGGAGAGCTTGTACCTGAACAAAACCTGGTCTTAAAGGTGCCCACTGGACTGTTTTGGACTGGGAGGCCAGGGAGAGCTCTGCAATTTACCTGGCTGCTTCTTGCTCTGCCTGAGGGCTGCTGGGAGAAGGGGGTGGGGCTTGTTGCATGTGCCTGCCCCCTGGGCTCTTTACTGCCGGAGCTCCACTCCAGCAGGAAATGACCCCTGATGATGATGATGATGATGATGATGATGATGATGATGATGATGATGATGATGATTTAAATTTATGGATCGCCCAATCTCTGAGAACCCAAGGCTCGGGGCGATTTACAATAGGTTACAAACAATGCAAAATTACACATTAAAATCAACCATCAGTTAATTCTAATTTAACAGTCTCCAGATGACACCCATAATTTAATCCCAAACCTACTCTGGGCTGTTCTTCTATATCATGGGCAAGTTAAAGGGGGAGGCTGAAGCGGGCAAAATGGAAGAAAAGAAGGGAGGGATTTCAGCAGGGTGGAATGCCACAGAGTCCACCCTCCAAAGCAGCCATTTCCCCCAGGGCAACCGATCCCTGTAGTCCAGAGATCAGTTGTAATTCCAGGAAACCTCCAGGTCCCTCTGGGAGGTGGAGCTATTCTGATCAGGGTAGCATCACTGGGATCGTCTCTCCCTCTTCCTCATTCTCCGCTTATAGTAGAACGTGCTGTCAAATCCCAGCTGATTTATGGCAACTCCATATGGTTTTCAAGGCAAGAGATGATCAGAGAGGGTTCCCCATTGCCTGCCTCTGCACGACAATCTTGGATTTCCTCGGGGGTCTCCCATCCTAGTACTAATCAGGGCCAGGCCTGAGAGCGGGCTGGTCTTCTATCCTGATCGAAACGGCTCCTTCCTATAGCTGCTTTTTGGGTGGCCGAATTAGACAAGGGGAGTCTCAGTCGCGGGATTCCAGTCTGGTCCTATTCCAGTAGCTTCTAATCATTCACCTATCTTAACGGGCAAGAGTCCAGTCGCACCTTTAAGACTAACAACATTTGCGGCAGGGTGGGAGCTTTTGTGAGTCGCTGCTCACCTCTTCAGAGACAGCTGTCTCTGAAGACGTGAGCAGTGACTCACAAAAGCGCCTACCCTGCCTCAAATGTTGTTAGTCTATAAGGCAGGGATGTCAAACATACGGCCCGGGGCCTGGAACCGGCCCCTCTAGGGCTCTTATGTGGCCTGCGAGCAACTAGTGCAAGGGAGGGGACAGGAGACTGCTCAGGGGGGAATGGGTGGAGCCACTCCGATTGTGGCTTCAGCATGGCGGAACAACCTCATCTGCAGCAGTCAAGCAGCGTGGAAGCATCTGTCCAGTGCTGCACCGCTGGCTCTCCAGTCCGCCCCCGTGGGTTTTCCTTTGCACCCCCTCCCAGCCCATGACACCTTGCAGTGAGGAGACACCAGCTTGGAGCTTACCAGCTGCTGTCCTTTATACTGCTTATATCTCCGCCACCTGGCGTTACCTTTCATGGCACACATAGCCCAGCCGGACAAAGTGACATTTATCTCAGATCCGACCCTCACAACAAATGAGTTAGACACCTCTGCTTTAAGGTGCTACTGGACGCTTAACTCTTTTCTACTGCTACGGACAGACTAACACAGCTACCCGTCTTCACCTATTTTTAAAATGAGTGATACGGACATCCCACGACCTGATACCAAACCCTGATAGTCCTCTCATTGACTTTGACCAACCTTGTCTCCTCTTCTCCATTCCTCTTTCTCACCCAAGAATGAACAAAGCCCCGACGGCCAAATTCGAAGCAGATGTCGGCAGCAAAACCACCCACCACTTTGTCTACCCGGAGAGCTACAGGGAGTTGGCAGAGGACGTCAGCATGATCCTCATACCTTTCAAAACCTTGGACCTGCGCTGGGTCGTCAGTGCTCTCACCACAGGCACCATCAACCAGTAAGCAGATCTCGAGAAAACGGAAAAGGAGTGCTTGGATCTCTTGTTAATTTCATGACGGGGCAAAGTCCCCACAAAGGGATTTCACTCTTGGCACACATCGTCCCAGGTGGAGAGACCAGATGTTTGCTGTGGCAAGTTGCCACAGAGCCATCTTTCACTAGTGGTGGAAAGTACCGTTTAAGTTGCTACTGTGGTGACCCCGTAGGGTTTTCAAGGCAAGAGATGAGCGGAGGTGGTTTGCCACTGCCTGCCTCTGCAGAGTGACCCTGGACTTCCTTGGTGGTCTCCCATCCAAGTTCTAACCAAGGCCGACCCTGCTTAGCTTTTGAGATCCGATGAGATCAAACTACCCTAGGCCATCCAGGTCAGAACAGAGTACCCTATCCTGCCAGTGGAAAGTGCCGTCAAGTCACAACTGACCTATGGCGACCCCATGGGGTTTTCAAAGCAAGAGGTGAACTGAGGTACTTTGCCATTTCGTGCCTCTATGTAGCAAACCCTGGAATTCTTTGGTGGTCTCCCATCCAAGTTCTAACCAAGGCCGACCCTGCTTAGCTTTTGAGCTCCGATGAGATCAAGCTACCCTAGGCAGAGTCTCCTATCCTGCCGGTGGAAAGTGTCGTCAGGTCACAACTGACTTCTGGCGACCCCATAGGGTGGGTCTCCCATCCAAGTTCTAACCAGGGCCAACCCTGCTTAGCTTCTGAGATCTGATGAGCTTGGGCTAGGCAGGGTCAGCCAGGTCAGGGCCATCTTTTGGTACCTGAATTGAAACTCTCAGTTATAGTGCTACTAGAAATAATGCCCGTTGCGGAAATAAATACAACGAGATCTAGAAAGAGGCTCTGGGAGAGTGTTCTGGCTTTGGGCAAACAGTGTCAGTTTCCTGTGGCGACCTCAGCAGGGATTAATGACAGAGTCCACTGTTTTCTCCAGAGGGACTGATCTCTGCTACCTGAAGAGCATTTGTATGTTTGAGTTATCTGTAGCCCTCACCTGGAGAGTGGTAACCATTGTTACCCATTCTCCTCTCCCCTATGAGGTATGTTATGCAACTGAAAATTCCAACTGCCTTGCGGGGGGGGAGTTTGAGGTGTGGAATGGACTGAAGTCCAATCAGCTTCCATATGCAGAAGACCAGGTTGTCGCAGCAGTTGTGGTGTGGGCGGGACCCAGGCTTTGCCTTCTGATTGGTGGCGATATATGCTGAGGAGCAGTGCCATCAGCCATACACTAAGGGAGTGCATTTTAGAATTAGAACTTTGGCACCCACTATTCAATTATATATAAGGAGAGATTCAATGCGGCAACTACACCCATGCTGTTGGATCCAGTGATGCGTGGGCAGAAAGGACAATGACCTTACTGCAGTTCCGCTTGCGCAGTGGCACAAGGGTTGTATGCACAGCCCGCTCGTATAATTTTAATGAGATAATAACGGGCAAGAGGTGGTTCAAAGGATCTCGTTAACTTTTACTTTGAAGCTGTATCAGAGGAGATGCGTAGTGTGGCCCCATGCGTGTACAGGAAACATAACCAGCTAGGGCAAGCCAAAAAGCAAGGCGTAATTGTGTAAGGACTATTGTGCATGCTGAGTTCTTCTATTGGGTCTCAGTGGGCATAGGCTGGAGTTAAGTCTGGATAGGATCACACGGCAAGCCACCTGGTGGTGACCTGACCGTATCGACAGGTAAGAACATAAAAGAAGCCAGTGCTGGATCAGGCCAATGGCCCATACAGTCCAACACTCTGTCACACAGTGGCCAAATATACCAGGTGCCATTAGGAAGTCCACCAGTGGGGTCAGAACACTAGAAGCCCTCACACTGTTGGCCCCCCCAAGCACCAAGAATACAGAGCCAGTTTGGTGTAGTGGTTAAGTGCGCGGACTCTAATCTGGGAGAACCGGGTTTGATTCCCCACCCCTCCACTTGCACCTGGCTGGTTGACCTTGGGCAAGCCATAGTTCTGATAAGAGCTGTTCTTGAAAAAAGAGCAGTTTCTGTCAGAGCTCTCTCAGCCCCACCTACCTCACAGGGTGTCTGTTGTGGGGAGGGGAAGGGAAAGGAGTTTGTAAGCCGCTCTGAGACACCTTTGGGTAGTGAAGGGCGGGGGATAAATCCAATCTCTTCTTCTTCTCCTTTGCCCCAGCCTGGGAGTTCCTATCTATACCTTGTGGCTAATAGCAAGTGATGGACCTCTGCTCCATATGTTTATCCAATTTCCTCTTGAAGCTGTCCATGCTTGTAGCTGCTGCCACCTCTTGTGGCAGTGAATCCCATGTGTTAAATCACTCTTTGAGTGAAGAAGTACTTCCTTTTATCCATTCTTCATGTCTCTGAGAACACAGGATCACAAACATGGATGATCGTATTCAGGGTAAGCAAGAGAATCTGTCTTTGCTCTTAAAGTGAAGTCAGGTGCACCTGTCCCCCACACACACTGATGTGGGGTGGTGAAATCTAGCAGTGTGTGTATCTGGGGCACCATTTCCAGGCTTGTGAAATTCCTGGAGATTTGGGGGTGGGGTTTGGAAAGGGAAAGGTCTGAAGGAGAGGAGAGGAGGAGGAGGAGATTGGATTTATACCCTGCCCTTCATTACCCAAAGGAGTCTCGGAGCAGCTTACAATCTCCGTTCCCTTCCCCTCCCCACAACAGACACCAGGTGAGGCAGATGGGGCTGAGAGAGCTCTCTCGAGAACTGCCCTTGAGACAACAGCTCTGAAAGAATTTATGACTGATCCAAGGTCACACCAGCAGCTGCATGTGGAGGAGTAGGGAATCAAACCCTGTTCTCACAGAATAGAATCCGCACTCTTAACCACTACACTGTCAGGTCCCCCAGTAAAGGCACTCTCCACAACACACTTAAGCAGTGATGGTTTATTGAGATGTGCTTTTGGAAACATGCTCTTTGTCAGAACTAAGAAAACGTGTGAAAAATCCCCAGTTATAGGTAAAGCAGTTAACACCCCACATCTCATGCATACATCATCATCCAGCCCCCTAGGTTACTATGACAACCCTATGGTGCCTTATTCAATATGCCCCCCATTGTCACATCTGAGGCGTCCACCTGAACAATAAAAGGCTAGATTTCATCAGGATGGTGGAGGATCGGCTCAGAAGTGAACAATGCCTTTAATCTATCAAAGGCTTGCTGGCACTCTGGCGACCATTCCAATTTACAGCCACCCTTCTTACTCTCCAGAGCCTTCCCCTTAGTTTTTATTAGATCAGTCATTGGGAGAATAACCTGGGTAAAGTTTGGGATGAAGGGGCAGTAGAAGTTTGTGAATCCGAGGAAGTATTGTAATTGTCTCCTGGTGCATGGGGGCTCCCACCCCACCACATCTTGGATTTTTTTGGGATCCATCTCCAGTCCCTCCCTCGTGATGCGATATCCTAAGAAGTCCATCTCCTCTTTGTGAAACTCACCCTTGGACAGCTTAGCATAGAGGTGATTCTCGTACAGTGCTTTGAGAACCTCTCTCACCAGTTTCATATGGGACTCCTTATCGTGTGAGTATATCAACATGTCATCTAAATAAACAACCACCCCCTTAAACAAATGCTTGTCCAACATTTCATTGATGAGGTTCATGAACAACGTAGGGCCCCCCACCAGTCCGAACGGCATGACCAAGTATTTGAACTTCCCTAACAGTGTGTTAAAAGCAGTCTTGTGTTCGTCCCCCTCCCTTATGCGCATTCAAAAATAGGTGTCTTGCAAATCCAGCTTAGTAAAAATCTTCCCCAAGAAGCCTCCGCCGAAAGGTCTTTGATGAGGGGGAGGGGGGTATGTGTTTGACATAGACACAGCATTGTAATCCATACATAACCTTAAGCCCCCATCCTTCTTTTTCTGGAACAACACTGATGCAGCAAAAGGGGAGGTAGTGGGCCTAATGAACCCCCTCTCCAAGTTCTTGTCTATAAACCTCTGCAATTCCTCCTTCTCCGTGGGGCGCATAGTATACAACTTTCTCTTGGGTAGTTTATTACCTGGCAGTATCTTGATTGCACAGTCAGTTTTATGATGGGGAGGCAACTCATCCACCTCTTCCTCAAACACCTGAGCCTAGTCTCTATACTCTTAGGGAATGGCATTCAGTTCCTCCTTTGCTAAACAGATGTGCTCGAGTGCCAGCTGAGGTTCCTCCCCCCATTCCAACTGCCACAAATGCTCCTTACATCTGGGGTCTAAGAAGGTAAGAGTTCCCACACTCCACTGCATGTAGGGGTCATGGGCTTGCAACCATGGACTGCCTAAAACCATGGGGAATTGTGCTGAGGGGTGTACTATAAAAGATCTCAGTTCCCAATGTTCAGACACCCCCACCTGCAGTTGTACTCTGCAGTACTGGCATGCTTGCATTGTAATATCGTCCATTTGGGTGAACACTACTGGTTCTTTTAAGCTATGCATCTTTGCCCCCAACCCCATAACTAAGGTGGGACTTACCAAGTCTCTTGTGCACCCAGAGTCTATAAGGGCCCATACTCAAATATGGGTCCCCTCCTCAGGGTTAAGTACAGTGACTGTCACAAAGAAAAGGGAGGAAGAGGATCTCACCGGTTCTCATGCCGGGGACTTTCGGACCTGCTGGTTGGCGCCCTTCACAGCAGGTCTCGGTGTTTTCCCACCCCCCGAGGCCTTTCGGAATGGGTGGGAGGGGGTCACTCCAGCTCCTCGGCTGCGGCCTCTTCGCCGGACTCTTCGGAGTCTTCTTTCACCATAAGCTCTTTCACAACTTTGAGGAGGTTTTTGATCAGGAACTGGAGACCCTCTTTCAGCTGTTTCACCTCTGGTCGTAGGCCCAATTGGCCCTGGTCACTTCTCGACTCGTCTTCCCACTCTTCCATCAGCTTGGCCAGCTCCAGGTCATCATGTAAGGTGAGGGAGACTCTCTGTCCATCCCGGTCCGAGTGGCTATGGGCACCATGGAACCCAAGTGTGCTGGCCAACCACAGTGGGTCTTCCCAGCTATCAGGAC